AGAAGAACATTATCAAATACGGTGCTGGAATATGAGCCTCCCAGGTTGGAAGGCACTCAAAATGTGACTAGGGAAGAGCTGTCTCCTCAAAGCAGAGTTGACCATAATCAATGTGGATGGAGTTAAGCTTTGGGACCATCATTTGCTGATGTGGCATAATTCAAAATGAGAAGAACCAACTGCAAAAATCTATTAATATTTGGAATGTGGAATGTAACAAAGTATGAATCCATGAAAATAGAAAGTTGTCAAAAATGAATTGGAATACACAAAGATCGGTATCCTAGATGTTAGTGAGTTTAAATGGACTTGGTATTGGCCATTTTGAATCAGATAAACATATGGTTTACTATGCCAGCTGTGACAAGTTCAAGAGGAATGGTGTCACATTCAGCATCAAAAAGAACATTTCAAGATCTGTCTGGACTACAAGGTTGGTTTGAACTTCAAGGTTGGCAGTTCACTAGCGGCTCCTTGGAAACCCCGTACAGGATCACTATGGGTTGGAACCAATTCCATGGCACTTAGCAACAACAATAAAAGTAGTCTGAAATTGATAAAACATGCAGACAAGATGCACTGATAATTACTGATGATTCAAATGTGAACTTTAGAAACAAAGAGTAAGGATCCATAGTTGGGAAATATGGCCTTGATGATAGAAACTATGCTGGAGAATTTTGCAAGACCAATGACTTACTCATTGTGAATACCTTTTTATCAACAACACACAAGTACTGGATCTCACCTTATGTAATGCACAGCAATCAAATTGGCTATATCGGTGGCAAAAGATAATGAAGAAGCTTAATATCATAAGCTAAAACAAATCAAGGGGGCAATTGTGGAACAGGCCATCAGTTGCTCTCACAGGCAAGGTTAGTCTGAAGCTGAAGAAAATTAAAACAAGTCCAGTAATGCTGAAATCTAACCTTTAGTACAAGAACACATCTGATGCATTAGACAATAATGACTGAAAACCACAAGAGTTGTGGGATGGCATCAAGAACATCATTCATGAAGAAGGCAAAATCTCATTAAAAAGGCAGGCAAAAAAGAAAATACTAAAGTGAGTGTCAGAAGAGAATCTGGAACTTGCTCTTGCGTGTAGAGAACACGAGTGACTTGAAGAAATGAGCCACTGCAAGACAGGAACAGAAAATTTCCAAGGCCAGCTTGAGAAGACAGAAATCAGATGTTGGAATGAAATGTGCAAAGACCTGGAGTTTAAATCAAAAGGGTAGGCACACTCACTATTTCTCCAGCTAAAAGAACTGAAGAAAAAAATTCAATCCTTGGGTTGCAATATTGAAGGATTCTATGTGCAAAATATTGAGTAACACTGGAAAAATTAAAAGAAGAAGGAAGAAATACACAAAGTCACTGTACCAAAAATCGTTGATCCATGTTTAGTCGGTTCACTTGATAGCAATTCTGATAGCAATTCTTGAGATAGCGTAGGATCAAGACTTTATGAGATTAATTAATCTTTTCAGAGAATAATGTTTTTGGTTTTGTTGATATTCTCTTATTTTTTTCAATTTCTTTGGTATTGATGAAAGATGTCAAAATAGCACTGAAGGCAGTGGCAAAAAACAAGGTTCCAGGAATTTATGTATTACAAATTTCAATGTTTTAGCAAGCTGATGTAGCAGTGGAGGTGTGCTCACTTGTCTATGTCAAGAAATTTGGAAGACAGCTACTTGCCCAACCAATTGAAAGAGATCCACATTTGTGCCCATTCCAAAGAAAGGTGACCCAATGAAGTGCAGAAATCATTAAATAATATCGTGAATATCAATCATATGCAAATAAATTTTGCAGAAGATAATTTGAAAATGATTGCAGCTGTACTTTGATAGGGAGCTGCCAGAAATTCAAGCTGGATTCAGAAGAGGAACGAGGAATATTATTGCTGATGTCAGATAGGTCTTGGTTGAAAATATAGACTATCAGAAAGATGTTTAGTTGTGCTTTATTGATTATGAAAATGCATTAGACTGTGTGGATCTTGACAAGCTATGGACAACATTGCGAAGTATGAGTATTCCAGAACACTTAATCGTACTCATGAGGAAACTGTACCTGGACCAAAAAGCCGTTGTTAGAACAGAACATGGGTGGGGGGTACCCAGTGGTTCAAAAGCAGGAAAGATGTTCACAAGGGTTGTTTCTTTTCATCAGACTTGTTCAGTTTATATGCTGAGCAAATCATCTGAGAAGCTGGTTTATGTGAAGAAGAACGTGGCATCAGTATTGGGGAAAGACTCATTAACAGTTTGGGATGTGCAGATGATACAATCTCGCTTACAGAAAGGGAAGAGGACTTGAAATACTTACTGATGAAGATGAAAGACTCTAACTTTCAGTATGGATTACCTCTTAAAATAAAGAAAACCAAAATCCTTACAACTGGACCAATATATAACATCATAAATGGAGAAAAGATTGAAGTTGTCAAAGACTTCAATTTGCTTGGATCCACAATTAGTACTCATGGAAGTAGCATTCTAGAAATCAAATGGTATATTGGATTAGGCAAAACTGCTGCAAAAGACCTCTGAAGTTAGAGAACAAAGATGTCACTTTGAGGACTAAGGTACGACTGATCCAAGTCATGGTATTTTCAGTTGCCTCATATGCATGTAAAAGTTGGACAAGAATAAGAAAGACTGTGGAAGAGTCCGTTCATTTGAATTATGGTGTTAATGAATATTGAAAGTACTGTACACTGCCAGAAAAACAAACAAATTGTGTTGGAAGAAGTATAGCCAGAATGCCCCATAGAAGCGATGGTGGCAAGACTTCATCTCATTAATTTGTACGTATTGACAAGAGGGACCAGTCCCCAGAGAAGGACATTATGCTTGGGAAAGTCGAAGGTCAATGAAAAAGAGGAAGACCCCCAAATGATGAGTTGACACAGTGGCCACAACAATGACCTCAAACAAAAACAATTGTGAGGACTGGGCATTGTTTTGTTCTGTTGTGCTAAGGGTTGTTTTGAGTCAGAATTGACTTGATGGCACCTAACAACAACATATGTTGTTGCATTTGATTTGCTAATAATTTTGGGGATGGATTTTATAATTGTGAGACATATTGGTTTATATTTTTCTTTTCTTGTTATTTCTTTGCTTAGTTTTGGTATTAGGGCAATGCTGGCCTTATAGAATAAGTCAGCGTTCTCACTTCTCTTTTAGGGAAGACTTTGTAGAGAATTGGTTATCATTTCTGCCTTAAGTGTTTGATACAATTTACCAGTGAAACTGTCTATGCCTGGTGTTTTCAGTTTGGGAAAGTTAATTGTTGATTTAGTGTCTTTAATGGCTGTAGTTTTATTCAGTATATATATATATGTTTCTGGACTTTTAAAAGTTATGGAAAAAAGAACTTAAAAGATAATGAAAATTTTCTATGAACTTTTTTCATATTTCTCCTTATGCAAATTTTGATAAAAGGAGCTCTGATAGCGTAGTGGTTACGAATCGGGCTGCAAACCCCTGGTTCAGCAGTTGGAAACTCCCAGCTGTTCCGCAGGAGAAAGAGGGGACTTTGTGCTCCTGTAAAGATTTACAGCCTTGGAAACCCTGTACAGGGTTGCTGTGAGTCAGAACCGACTCCACGGCACATAACAACAACAACATGTCTTTTAAGGAATTGCCTGATTTAATCTAAGCTATCAAATTTAGGGTACAGAGTTGATCAAAATAGTCCTTTGTTATCTTTTAGTGTCCATGGATTATAGTAGTGAGGACTCCTCTATTTTTTTTTCTGGTGTTATTTATTTGGGTCCGTCCCCCCACCCCCTCCCCACACACATATCCCTGTTAGTCTTGTTAGAGGTTTATCTATTTTATGAATCTTGTCAAAGAACAAGGTTTTTAATTTTGTTGATATTCTCATATTTATCTTTTTCAATTCCATTTGTTCATGTTCTGTCAGTCTTTTGAGTTGATAAGTTTAATGCATTTGCTTATTGATATACTTGGACTAACTTCTGTTTTTCCTGCCTAATCTATCCTTTATTGATCTTTGATAACATAGTGAGCTATTATTCTTATTTTTAGATCTCTAGTCCAGGTCACTGCTCCACTATTTAGTCGTATCTAATCTGTTGTTTGAACCACAAGGTCGGTTTCAACTGCAAGGTTGGCAGTTCAGACCCACTAGCTTGATCCTTGGAAACCCTATGCAGGGTTACTATGAGTTGGAACTGACTTGACGGCATTGAACAGCAACAGCAACAGATCTGGTGTTTGGAGTCCTGGTATGGTGCTATAGGATAAGCATTGAATTGCTAACTGCAAGGTTGGACATTTAAATCCACCAGCCACTCCTTGCAACCCTAAATAGGACCAACAGGAGTTGGAACCAACTTGATGGCACTTAACAACAACAACCACCTTGTTGTTTGGGAGCAATGTGATTGTGAAGTTACCCTGTCTTAAATTGGGTGGTCAGGAAAGGCTACTTGTGAAGGAGTCTACTAAATGAATGTCCTGGAGATCTGAGTATTCCAAGCAGAAAAAATCACTACAGTAAACTTGCTCTTAAGTGGAAACAAGTTTGCTACTTGAAGAAAAGGAGGAGTAGGACTTTGATAGCACTGGGGAAAGTTATATGAAATGAGATTCATGAGCATAAAACAAAAATGGAGCAACAGTGGGCTTCCACTACTCAGTATTACTGATAATAATAGTCTATACTTAGGAATCTATAGAACTCATTATGAGGGAAAATTATAGGAGAACTGTAGAAACAGTTACTTTATGTTTGTTTCTGTTTCTTTTCGTAACCAGAGCAGATGGATTATAAAACAACAAAACAAAAAAATGCTTCACAGGTATTAAATGTGTCAGGATAATTTTTTAGCACTCGTAGCAATTTTTAACTAATTAATTTTTTGTCTTGTACAGGTTAATTTATTGTTTGATTACTTCCTTCCTTCTCTCTCTCCCCCCCCCCCCAAACAGATAAATATCATCTTGTTTTGTTTCAGTTTCAGGTTTCTCATTGTATGGATCACTGGTTGCAGAATAGATGGCTTTTCCTCGTCTCACAGGAGCCTTGCGCTCCTTTTCAAATGTCACCAAACAGGATAATTATAATGAAGAAGTAGGTGACTTAAAGGTAAATTTTTCAGGTGAAAACCATTATAAGCCCAGAGTATGGACAAATATTTGACATTCTTTTCTTTGGTTCTGTATACTTAAAATGGAAATCCTTTTTAATTTGGTGTTAGATTAAGAGGGGGAATGGACATATTGATGTTAATTCAATGCTTGGAGTCCTGGTTTGGCACTGCAGGATAATACATTGGATCTAAAGGTCAGTTTGAACTGCAAGGTTGGTGGTTCAAACCCATGAGACACTCCTTGAAAACCTTATATGAATCTCTATGAGTTAGAACTTACTAGACAGTATTTAACAACAACAACTTGACTGCTTAACTTAAGTATCCATGGCTGTATTGTTAAAGACAGTGATCAAAACTATGATGTTGCTGCTGTTGTTAAGTGCTATTGAGTCGTTTCTAACCTGTAGCAACCCTGTATAGCATTTCCCAGGAGTGACTGGTAAGCTTGAACTGCCGACCTTATGGTCCAGACTGACTGCAGTCCAGTGCATTAGTCCACAAAACCACACCAGGACTCTGATAATGATTATTAATACTCTGTTGTTGTTGCTAAAGTCTCTGCTGTACTTAATTTTGTAAATTTGATCTAATAATTTCCTTCTGGATCCTCTGACAAAGTTTCAAGTTTGTGCTGACTTTCTTATCAAAAGCATAGAAACAGTATTTCTGTAAATAACACTGAAAATATTAATATGAATATTAATCTAGACTTAAGGGGTTTTATAATTGGCTACTGATAAAAAGGCATTAAAGATTTAAAAATACTGTTATTTTTAAATGTGAGAAATAAGTTTCATAAGAAACAAAAGTTTACATGAACTATAGACTCTGTTTTGACTCATAAAAGTAAAGACTGCTTTAGTCTTAATTAAGGTATGGAAAACATTTCTGCTCATGAGTCAACCTCGTTGTGGTTATGTGCCATGGAGTCAGTTCCGACTCATAGCGACCCTATACAAGATTCCCGAGGCTGTAAATCTTTATGGGAACAGAAAGCCTCATCTTTCTCCCACGGAAAAGCTGGTAGTTTTGAACTGCTGACTGTGAGATTAACAGCCCAATTCGTAACCACTATACTACCAGAGATAATACTAATTTGACTCCTACTATAAATAAGTGGTTAAGTGCTATTGAATCATTCCCCACTCATAGTTACTCTATGTAAGATGTCTGAGGAGCAGCTGGTAGATTTGAACTGTTGACTTTTCAGTTCAAAAGTTCACTCTGACCTTGTGGTCCAGAGCTTACCCTACAGTGCCATAGCAGGACTCTGCTATAAATACAAGGGATCTTAAAGAAAGTTAGTGGAAAAACTAAATGAAAAGTTAATGGACTTTTTCCATGAAGTTTTAAAGCTTCCTCATGTACTTATGTCCCACCAGGGCACAATGGCTGTCACTATGAAATAAGAGATTTGGCATTTCATGGAATGTCTTTAGTGTGGGTGCTACATAGAATTAATGACTATCTGAACAACAAATTCGGGCACATAATTTGATCTAGTTCTGATAGGTATGCTTATATCAGTCTTATAAAGGTAGAAAATGATTAATAGTTATATACTAACTCTATTATAGAAAAAATAAAGTTACTGAGTGTAAGACTTCCAGAAATTTCTGGATAATGTGGTTATAACATAATTAGAGGAGAGACAGAAATAACTTGGATGTGTGTTTTCTGATCAATTGGCAAATGTGAGGCTATTTTCATTACTATGAAGAACTTATTTTTTTAAATCTGTAGTTTATTCTTGAATATAGTTTTTCAGTTTGTATATTTGCTAATTCAAAAGACACAAGACACATCATTTTAAAGGATTTTTGACATTTAAAAAAATGATGTTTACATTGCTAAAATGATAAAATTAAATTTTTAATAGCTGAATTCATGTTATGGAGAAATTTAAAGACAAATAATAATTGAACTATTCACAAGGAAGGATAAGTTTTCGAAACCTGACCCTTACATTGTGAATGTTTTCATAGGCTGAAGCTATATGAACTATACATATGAAGCAGATAAAGCAATTGTATTAGAATAGAGATGCGGTTAACCTTCTTTATGATGATAGATGGTTTTCATTTTCCACAGTTATTAAAATAAGGATATGTTCTCTGTGTTATTGTTGTTAAGTGTTGTCAAGTCAGTTTCGATTCACAGGGTTTCCAAGGAGCGACTGGTGAGTTTGAACCAGTGACCTGAAGTTGAAACTGACCATGTGTTCCAGTGCTTACCCTCCACTGGCACACTCCATATTCTGTATGTTGTTGTTATGTGCCGTGGAGTCGATTCCGACTCATAGCGACCCTACACAGGGTTCCCAAGGCTGTAAATCTTTATGGGAGCAGACCACCTCATCTTTCTCCCGCGGAACTGCTGGTAGTTTCGAACTGCTGACCTTTGCAGCTCACTGCCCAATTCGTAACCACTACGCTACCAGAGCACCTGTATCGTTAAATAATTTTGCCATTTTGAATCATTTCCACCTCTTCAAAGGGCTTTTCACAAGCTATGTTATACATAGTACAGAAGATTTAAAAATTTGAAGTGCATGAATATTTTATGTCATTTCATGTTTTGTAGTCTTTTAAACACTTTTTCCAGGGAAGGAAAGTGGCAAATATAAATTAGCTTATTTTGCTGTAATTTAACTTTTTATCTTGAGAAATGTACAACAGATACAAAAGGGAAGAATTAGATGAATTTTGATGTGCCCCCATTGTAACACTTTTAACATTTCCACTCATTGCCAGTCTTACTTCATCTCTATCTTCTTCGTCCATTTTCCTCCTATACACAGATTAAATTAGCCCGATTTAAAATGTGAAAAGTGATGCAGAAAAGTAATGGTGAATTATGCAATGTCATCAGTACACTCAAGAGTAAAATTACAGTTTTCTACTTGATCCATAGAAGTCTCATCTATGGATGAAGGCCAAGGGAATGAAATAATGCTGTTAATGCATTTTAGGTTCAGTTTTTGAGAATAGAAAGATTTGTAGATGTTAAGAAATTCCTGTATGGTTAATTTGTTTTAGAAATATTATTATGGAAGCAATGCTGACTTCAGTGTATTGACTCCGTCACAGGAATCTAATTTCCTTTAAACAGTTGTTTTTTTTTAAAAAAAGAACACTTGATGTAGAGCTCTAAAGTGTAATATGATCTGAGTTATTTTGAAAACAAGTAGTCAAAAAAAACTCCAGAAAGGTGTGTGGGATGTTACCAATTGTTACGTGGATGTTGGACTTTTTGCTTTTTATTTTTCTGTGTAATGTTTATCTCAAAATGAGTATACATTGAGATTAAAACTATTAAAAAGAAACATATTTTTTAAACAAGTGACTCAGTTGAATTACCTTTAAATAAAACTCCTGGGAGCTGAAAATTTGGGAGTGAATGTTGGATTGAAGATTTTTTATTTATTTTTTTTCTTTTTTTGCCTTTTGAATTCTTATGGATAGTGCCACCTTGTGTAGTGTAGTGTGAGATATATATGTGTTAAGTAGTGGATCTGAGAAACCATTAACCTGTGATTTTCTATATTATGCAATCTTTTTCAGATGAAGCGATCCATACTTCATGAAAAAAATTTAGAGTTGGGCCTGACGTGGAAGAAGATAGTAAAATTTTTGAATGAAAATCTGGATAAGAATGAAGTACAAAGTGTAAATGAAGACTTAAAAGATCTGTTACAGGCTTCAAAACAAATAGGTATGTTTTTTTGTTTTTATTTGTTGTTTTTGTAAAGAAATATTAAGTGGCACTGTAGGATATTCACTGGACCATAAGTTTGATTTGAATTACGTAGTCAGTGGTTCAAACTTAATCAGCCACTTCTTGAAAACCCTGTATAGGGTCACTATGAGTCAGAACCGACTTGATTGCACTTTACAACACAGTAATAAAATTCAAAAATAGGTCCTTCTAAGTTATATAGTGAAAGGCTAAGTTTTAAGCAGAATAGTTCTACTCTGCCTACACAGCATCATTATTAAAAACAATTTTATCTATCAGGGAACTTCTGATACAGTGGGAGAAGCAGAAGTAAACTAACAGTTATAGTACAGTCACCATGAGGGAGATATAGGAATTCTGGGATTTGAAAGCAACTGACATGATTGAAATAAAGAAAGGGTGCATTCAGTGTAACTTGAAGGAACCTTAAAAGGCTGTAATTCAGTCTCTTCCTTACAGATGCCCACCTACCACAGCAATTGAAATGAACTTAGACTCTTTTCCACTATAGTACCATAATATTCTCATTGACTGTATTTCAAGGAAATTATAATTTGAGAATTGAATACTGTATACTTATCTAAGGAGCTCTGGTAACATTGTAGGAAAAGCATTGTAGGAAAACCATAGATCTGCAGTTCAAATCCACCAGCCAGCTATTCTGTCTCGGAAACTCTATACAGGGTTACTATAAGTTGGAATCAACTAGATATCAGTAAATGAGTGAATATTTAAGATTACTTTCCTAAAATTGTAAACAAATCAAAACAATTGGTAAAACACCTGAATTTGTGCCTTGACATTCTTCATATCCTTCCAGACACTGATAGCTAAAAAACATACTTAAAGCTACAATAGATCTAAATTGTCTTGTTTCAGCATGTTTGTGCTTAGATAAAATCTACACTCACACTCTGCCCCTTTGTGATCGGCTTTTTACCATTTTCTCTTACCTTGTATCATTCTCTGCTTCATCAATTATCTTTCAGGTGCTGTGGACTTCTGTCAAGTTTTCAAACCAAAATGGTTTTATTTTCAAGTTTGGCACATGTTGCTTCCTCTGCTAGGAATTATTAGGTCCTTATCTTAGTGTGATAGATACTTTCTTATCCTTTGGAACTCAGCTAAAAAATTATTTTCTCAGTGAAGCCTTCACTGACCATCTAAACCCAAGATGTCATGCAGTCAACTCTTTATCTTATGGTCCTCTGTGCCATTGTATCCATAGCAGTTTGTATTATCTGATATTTATGTTTGTTTAGGACTCCTAGTGTGATGCTATAGTATCCGCACTGGACTGTGAACCATAAGATTGTCAGTTCAAACCCTCCAGCTGCTCTCTGAAAACCCTAGACAGGGTTGCTGTGAGTCAGAAGTGATTTGATACCACTTAAACAACAACTTTGCTTGTGTATTTACTGTCTGTGTTCTGCTTCTAGAATGTGAATTTCATGGAAGTGGAGATCTTACTTTTCTTTTTCAGCACACCATTCTCAATATTTAAAGCTGTTGTTGTTAAGTGCCTTCAAGTCAATTCTGACTCATAGTGACCCTGTATAAGGTTTCTGAGGAGAGGATGGTGAATTTGAACCACTGATTTTGTGGTTCATAGTGCCACACAAGTGCTTGACATATTTTGTGGTAGTTTGTGGGTATGTGCCACGGAGTTGGTTCTGACTCAGTGATCCTGTATAGGGTTTCTGAGGTGTGAATCTTTATGGGAGGGGTCTTAAGAAAGATTTCAGGAGTCCTGGTGATGTAATGGTTGAAATGCTCAATTGTTAATCAAAAGGTTGGTGGTTTGAGCCTACCAGCAGCTCAGTTGGAGAAAGACGCACATGTACTGCATAAATTTAACATCCTCAGAAACCATATGGAATAGTTGTACTCTGTCCACACAGAGTCCGTATAAGTTAGAATTGACTGAAAAGCAATGAATTTAGAAATAAACATTTACTGGGTAAGTAAATGAAAATGTTTCCGTAGGTGATTACTTGGTAGAAAATTTAGATCCGTGTTTTATCATATCTTATTTCTTGATTGGCAATTTTGTTCCCTATACATTTATTTCTGTTATAGCTAATAATAGATTTGAAGAATTCTTAGTTATGATGATCAAATATTAAATTTTTGAGAAATATTTTGACTTTTAAGAAAACTTATTTCATTATCTTGGTGTGTAATATATTGTATTTAATGTCATCATTGTTTTAAGTTCTAAAAGTACAGTCATATGTGAGGAGACTTCAAACAATTGGTGGTAAAACCGAATTGAAAGATGATAGTTTTTCCATAAACTTTTAGCCCCCTCATAGAGCACGATTAATGAGATTTGTGATGGCATTTGGTATATAATCACACTGTATATTTCAGGAATATAGAGGCAATAAAATTCATTGGAAAGTAGTCAAAATGCAAAAATGGTGGCCTACTGATGTCACCTTGACCTTTTTGGGACTCAATGTCTATTTGAAGAGGGCTTTGAAAAACTTGTGAAAAAAAAGAATTAAAATAATAGAATTTTCCCATTAACTGAAGCTCCCATGTACTTTACCAAGTATATACAGCATGTTTACTTCTTTCTCAGTTCCATTATTAAAATGCTCGCATACCATAGTAAAAACTAGTTTATTTAGTACCATGGCTAGATTTTTCCTTATGTAAATAACATTGGAGATTAAGAATTTTAAAAGTAAGTTACCTTTTAAATTACATCCATCCCCAGCTATCTCTGGCTACAAATCAGGAGCCATTGCTTTAAATGCCAGTCATTAAGTGTAATACGTTTCAGGGATTGCTTGTTTTTAGATAAACACCTCAAAAGAGTAATTCTAGTGACAGGTGAAATCTTGGTGTTGGACTTTGGCAAATCATCAGTTTTATAGACATTTTGAGATTTTGCTAATCTGCTGTAGGATCAGAACTGGGCTGCGAGTCACAAGGTTGACAGTTCAAATCCACCAGCTGCTATTCGGAAAGCTTATACAGGATCACTGAGACGGAACTGACTCAATGGCACTTAACAGCAACAATTTATTTGTTACTTTTGAGTGAAATTTATAGTTGTATTGTAGTTATCAATTATTTCTAAATGAATTTACTGACACTGGAAATACAGATAAAACTAGCAACTTTGAAAAGATTAGTTTTGTGGGAATGATGTCTGTGCTTTCTCTTACATCTCTTGTTGCTAAGTGCTGTTGAGCCAATTCTGACTCAGAGATCTTGTATAGGATTTTCAAGGAGTGGCTGGCTGGTAGTTTGAATCACTGACTTATAGTTAGCTGTTCAGTGTTTATCATACAGTCTACAGCATCACACAGTCTATTTTGATGTAATTGTATTTAAAATGTAGAATTGTTGTTGTTAAGTGGTATCTAGTCCGTTTCTGCTTATAGTGACTCTGAATAGAGTTTCCAAGGAGCAGTTGGTGATTTGAACTGCCAACCCTGTGGTTGGCAGACAAGTGCTTACCCTGCAGCACCACACCAGGATCCCAGAAGGTAATGTTGTTGTTAAGTGCCATTGGGTTAATTCTGACTCATAGTGACCCTACTTAGGATCTCCTAGAAATGTCTGGTGGGTTTTAGCCACCAATTTTGCAGTTCAAACTGACCTTACTGTTCCTTGCGTATCAGAAGGCACCACAGCAGGACAAGGTAACACTGTTGTTGTTAAGTGCCATAGAGTTGAGTTGATTCTAACTCATAGCAATATGGTTTCTGAGGAGCAGCTGGTGAGGTTGAACCACTGACCTTGTGGTTCAAACTGATCTCGCAGTCCAGTGCATTAACCCATAGTGCCACATTCGAGAACTAAAAAAAAAATGAACATCACTTAAGTTTCAATAATGAGTCTAGATGAGTATAATGAAGTAATATGAGGCACTTGTTTAAATTGTGTATTCTGATTAACCAGAGTTTTACATGCTTTAAGCTTCAGGGGACATCAGAGAGCATCTTGCCCAATTCCTTCGTTTTGTAAATAAAGATTAAGGGCCTTGGAGGTTAATTGGATTCTTCAAAGAGTAGGCTTAGAACCAAAGTTTTGAAATCAAAACGTGATAAAAATCCTAGGGCCTTCTTACCTTTCATATTCTTCCACTAAAAAGTCATGTTCTGTCAAGTCTACTTTTCAGCTGTTCTTAAATTTATTCCCTTTACATATTTCCTATTGTCCTAATTCTGATTTTTATTGTCTCTTGCCTGAACTATTACATAATATACCCTTTTAGATTTCCTCTCTTATGTAACTTCCACACTGTAAAGACTGATGTTTGTTAAAGGCAAAGCTTCCCAATTACAGGTTATACCAAATTTCTTAGGATACTGCATGATGAAAGCTCCTTTAAGAATTGACACAGTTCATGTTTTCATCTCTTCTGCCATCCTATGTCATGAAGCCTTTACTCTAGTATGTGCAACTTTTAATTTCCAGAATAGCACATTTTATTTTTCCTCTTTATCTTTCATGTTAAACCTGGTAAACTGTTTCTTACCTGGGAAGAAATAGCTTAGGCTTTATTCATGTCATTGTGAATCCTTTTTGATACCACTAAACTACAAGTATGAATTGGGCTGCGAACCGCAAGGTCAGCAGTTCGAAACTATCAGCTGCTCCGCTAGAGAAAGATGAGGTGTTCTGCTCCCATAAAGATTAACAGCCTCGGAAACCCTGTGCAGGGTCACTATGAGTCAGAACCGACTCCATGGCACATAACAACAACATAACAACAAACTACAACTACAACACTAAACTATGGAGTCCTACTGTGGCGCTGTGGGTTAATGCGCCAGACTGCAAAGCCATTTGAACTACAAGATCGGTGGTTCAAGTTCACCAGTTACTCCTTGGAAACCCTATACAGGGTCGCTATGGGTCGGAACCGACTCGATGGCACTTAACAACAACAACAACAAAACTACAACTATTTTTTCCATATCTGTTTAGACTGCTTTTCTCATTGTTTGTTGTTT